GTATTGATGCTTCACGATATAGGTTTTTTTGGAAAAACTTAAAAAAATTCATATTTTTGTATTACGGTTTTTTTGTGGTGTGCTACATAGATGGTCTGTGGTTAGATTGGTGACACGGGCTATTTGTCAACTGGTTTACAGATGGAGGAAGATGAGATGCTCCTCAGGTCATGTGCACAACAGATACCATAGATGGCTAAATGGACGACACGATCGTAACGCCATATGAAACGACACTATTAGATACGATGGCCTAGCCGTACCGTGTTGCTCCCTCGGCCAAGGCACGACACTAAGGATGCAGTGGCGGCGCCAGGGGTATGCCTGGGTATTCCTTGGAATACCCAAGATTTGAGTGCAAAAAATAAATACATATAGTATACATGTATATTCAATTTTCTAATTGGACCAAAAGCCCACAAACGAACTTGTAGAAGCGAGCGGGGCAACCTTGCCAAGGCCCAAGCGGCCAGATTGCTCCCGTCGGCATCTCCCATTCACAAGTCTTGACTCCCGTTCTTCTAAAAAGGAAGTCGGAACTCCCGTCCAACTCCCAAGCGGTGGCGGCGGCGCATCTTGATCGCTGTTGCGGCTGCCGGCGGCGGGGGTGGGCAGCCGGCGGCACATCTCGATCTGCTTCTGCTGCGGTGCCGGGTGGACGGTAACCAGCAGGTAGCAGCACATCGTCGTCGCAACTGCTACTTATGATCAAGGCATTTGTTACACTTGCTACAAAGTTTTATACTAAGCATTTCACAAGTGATGAATTATCAAAACTTCCATGGCAGCTTACTGTGTACATTTCTCATATGCGTAGAGATGAAAGATTTAAAAATTTGAAGAACCTATGTGAGCTTTCAGTTAAGCTTGTGGAGACAAAAAACATGAACAATAGTGTGTTGTTTACAAGCTTCTTAAGTGGTGCTAATTCTTTCCGTAGCCATTATTAGTGTTGAAAGGATGCTTTGTTTTTTTTATATATATTTAGCATACCTAACTGCAAATTTCTGGCTCCGCCACTGTAAGGGTGTCTAGCCGTGCCTTGCTAGCACGATGGGCACAATAGCCTAGTGAGACCACGCTAGCTTGGGCACGACGAGAGCCGCGCCGCCGCTCTACACAGTGCCGCTGCTGTTGATGGGAGGTTGGGATGATCAGAGGTCGCCTAGGGAGTAAGGATGGCAACGGGTATATACCCGTCGGGTATCGCCGGAACGTTCTCTTCCCCGTTATGGAGAATTCATCCCGTCCCCATCCCCATTAACTGTCTCGGGTATAGATTCTTGCCCATCCCCATACCCGTCGGGTATCGGTCGGGTAACAGATACCCGACGGGTACTGCATACCCGATAAACAAGGACACTTGAGGTCGCAGCTTTGCAATCGGAGACGTTTCTTCTTCACCCGGGTATAAGTGTCGGAGTCTCGGAGATGCCGAGGAGAAGGAGCGAGGTTGCGAGGAGGACGAGCAAAGGTGGCAGAGAGACCGAACTGAGGAAGCGAGGGGCACAAGCGCTCGTGAGACAGGCGTGCTTGTGCTGCTGGCGGAGATGGTGAGGAAAAATTGAACGAGGGTTCCTAGAACACACAAATTATATATATGACTGTTCAGATTTGGACCAAAATATCTATGTTGAACTTCTTTGGGCCTAATACTCGCATGACAGCTCAAATAGTCGGGTTCCCTAACGGGTAACGGGGACGGGTAAACAGGGAACGTTCCCGTACCCGCTATACCCGTCGGGTATGGATTCTTGCCCATTTAGATGCCCGCGGGTAAAGATATGATCACATCCCCGTCCCCTAATGGATCAAATACCCGTCGGGTATCGGATATCGGGTCCCCGTTGCCATCCTTACTAGGGAGCAAGCGGAGGAGGCAGGGAGGACTAGGGAGGAAGGGGCAGCCTAGTGCGTGCGTGGCAAGGTCTGGTGAGGATAACCCAGAGAAAGCTAGCCGAGGGCTTAGAGTAGAGGAGAGGAAGAGTGGGAAAAGAGATTTATTTTATAGCCAGAGTTTTTAATGGACTAAATCCGGCTGGGAGGTTAGGCCATGTGCTTAGCCTCAGGGGTATTTAGATCCAGTAACTAAAATTTAGGAGGTGTTAAAAGAGGGTGTCGCATAGGGTGTTCAGATACTAATAAAAAAATAAATTACATAATTCGTCAGTACTCCACGAGATGAATTTTTTAAGTCTAATTAATTCGTCATTAGCACATATTTACTGTAATACCACGTTGTCAAATCATGGACTAATTAGGCTTAAAAGATTCGTCTCGCAAATTAGTCACAAACTGTGTAATTAATTTCATAATTAATCTATATTTAATACTCTATACATATGTCAAATATTCGATAAAACAGTGACTAAAATTTAGGAGGAGAAAACTTACACCCACTGAAGTTGTGCCGTGTCGGCGTGCCCGGACTGACCAGATAAGACCGTCCAGCCCACAAATACTACAACGATGTGCCGCATGACGTCGACGTCCTCTCCTCAAGCGCGCCCTCAGTCCTGCTCTGTTTCTGTTAGACTGTTACAGCCTTTCAGCCTCGCGCGCAGGTAGAGAGACGACGGACGAAGTAGGAAACTTCCCATCCGAATACAGAAATAACCTCACCTTGATATTGTTATATACTGCAAATTGTTGTTGCTGTTACTCGAGTGATGAAAGAAAGATGGTGAACGTTAACTACTATTGCTTATGATAATCTCGCCTCCGCCGGCTATCCGGTCCGGTGTGCGACACTGCGACCCCAGGTACACCTCTATTTATTTGGCGCCGGAGAGGAGGCAGATAGGACGACCACCAGAAGCAGGGATCCATCCATCCACCGCTGTACGCACGGCTGTACTACTACTACCGCATCAACCATCAGGCATGGAAGCATCGGCTGCGAAGCGTGTCCTCCGCGTGGCCGGTACGTACACTTCATGGAGGCATCACTCTTAATTTCGTGCTAAGACCTGCCCATGCTCAACACCGACCTCGAGACCGACGGCGGCACAGGCTTCCCGCCCGCCGTCGAGGCCTTCCGCGCCAAGGTCCGCCACGCCGACTGCTTCCTCTTCGCCTCGCCCGAGTACAACTACTCCATCACCAGTAAGTTTTGCTTTGTTATTACTACGCGTCATTTCTGTACTTCATTCCCTAAAAAAAAATGATTTTTAGGCCCACTGAAGAACGCACTTGACTGGGCTTCTAGAGGAGTGAACTGCTGGGCGGACAAGCCAGCTGCCATCGTCAGCGCGGGAGGCAACTTTGGTGGGGGCAGCTCGAGCTACCATCTGCGCCAGGTCGGGGTGTTCTTGGACATCCATTTCATCAACAAGCCAGAACTGTTCGTCTTCGCGTTCTTCGAGCCGGCCAAGTTTCGACAGCGATGGGAACCTGATCGATGCCGAAACCAGGGAGCGGCTCAAGCAGGTGCTCCTGTCCCTTCAGGCCTTCACGCTCAGGCTCCAGAACAAGGATTAATTCAGCTCCCGGTATCACCAGCCGTGCTGATAATAATTTGTGCTTTGCTCAGACTATCTCCAACAACGACACCCAAAATACAAGACTCACCTTTGAGTAGCGTTACAGACAAAGAGTTCAATACCCATTCGGCATCTTCTCCAACAACACTAGAAGAGAATCCTTTCTGCAAATGGGTTTTTAGAGAGATGATACTAATATTTGGGTTGTAGCTCTCAGCCAATCCAAAATGGGTCTCCCGTACAGGTACTCTGTTGGAGGTCAATTTTAGATCTCTTGCTACCTATTTTAGGTTTAGGTGCCCATTTAGGTCACTCATTGGAGATAGTCTCAGCGCTCGGAAGTTTGAGGTCGTCTCTTATACATAAAACTACAGCATGTATCTCCAAACTACCATATGTGCTCGATCCTGGAGAACTATGCATGCTATCCGATCCCTGCCTGCATATTGGTCCATGCACGATTCCCTTTCAATTGTTGCATGGGAATATATAACACCTTTAACTTCACTGTTTAAAAAACAATTTTAGGAGACAGTCGCATCACACTTTACATACACGGTTTCAAAACATCAATATCTCCAAAAATATCTAGTGAATTTCAGAGGCGATCAACTTATTTACGAAAACAGTCCAATAAACACCACAACCGTAAATACATTTTTAGAGACCTGCGTCTAAAAATAATTAATCCCGCTCATTATTATATTGCAGTCAGCACAAAGCAAGCCAAATCACAACACTCCTCTCAAGTTGATGTGGAGGCAAAGGCACGCGTGGATCCGTCCTGGATCCAGCAAGGAGGGCATCCATTCGACCCGGATCTAGGTTTCATTCATGATAAATTTGGTTGTGATGCCCGGTTCGTGTTTTGTTCGTGATGCCTTGCAGCACAGGCATGTCATATCTTTTGCTCCCTTTGTTTCAATTTGATTGGAATGTGCCCGTTTTTGGAGGTAAATGCGTAGCCTTGCTGGAGGTGACCCAGGCTGTGATGATGGGCTACTAACAACTCCTAAAGATCTAAGGCTGTAATCACAAACTCTTACTTTGCCCGACAACCTAGCTCTCCTCAGCAAGGATTTCCTTGCCCGTTCAGAAGAGCCAAATCAGCTTGCCTGCATGAGTAAAGGTTGTTGTCTCTACTTTGCTAGGTGAGGCTGGCTAGGTGAGACAAGATCAGCAAAGGTTCCAAGCATGACCATAATTATGATCGTAGGAGACGGTTGCTCTAGCACATTAAAACATGCATATACTCCCCTTTACCTCCTTGGTATATGGGATCCGCTTGTGAGAATGGAGTTCCATTACATACTTATTATGAAAAAGAGAAAAGTGATTGAAATCGTCATTAAACATGGCCATGATGCCACGTGGATAAGAATTGACACAGCGCTGATATACGTGGATACACACGTTTATTTCCTGTCGAAGGCTCGAAGCAAATGCATCATGCTTGTGTTCCACGTACAAGCAGAGACAAATGCAGGCAACGCACACGCACAAGTATGTATGCGTGCATCATGGAGGCGGCCTGGCGTATATGTGAGCCGGAAGCCTAGGCTCGGCGATGGCTTGGAGTGGGATCAAGCGCGGCATGGACAGCCCGAACTTCTCTTCCATGCTCAACTCCTCCTTCGCCATGCCGTCGGGGAGCCTCCACGCAAACCCGTGGACCAGGTTCGCTAGAATCACCTGCTCCATCTTTAGCCCAAGCCCGATGCCGGGGCACATCCGACGGCCAGACCCGAACGGCAGCAGCTCAAAGTCCTGCCCCTTCACGTCCACGCTGCTCCCGGCGAACCTCTCTGGTCGGAACTCGTCGGGAGCATCCCCCCACACGGCCGGGTCACGGCCGATGGCCCAGACGTTGACGAACACGAGCGTGCCCGTCGGGATGTCGTAGCCGTCCACGGACGCGTCCTCCCGGGACAGCCGCGGCGCCAGCAACGGCGTCACCGGGTGCAGGCGCATGGTCTCCTTGACGATGGCCTGCATGTACGGGAGCTTCGTGATGTCCCCCTCCGTGACAAGGCGTTCGCGGCCGATGACACGGTCCAGCTCCTCGGTGGCCTTGGTGAGCACATCGGGTTTCCTCAGGAGCTCGGACATGGCCCATTCGATGGTCACCGATGAGGTGTCCGTGCCGCCAACGATGAGATCCTGCAAGAGCGTGTCAGAAAATTCTTTTCTAAAACAACTCTACTCCTTTAGTTATTCCATAATGCAGGTCAGGAAGTACAATTAATGATTACATATTTCTAGCTCTCTAGCTACGACTCATATGAACCTAGGAGTGCTTGATGTGGGTAAAAGTAAAACATATTGCAAATGATAAGAGCAACAAAAGCAATCGTTCCATCTATTGCTAGATTACATAAGATCATGCAGATTAATTTGCGTTGCCCAACTTCATGACACTACCATGATCCTGAATTACCTTGATGGGCAAGAATTTTCTTGAGGGCTGAAATGGAACTGCCAAGGAAATTGGTTGTTTCCTTGGCTATCATCGTAAACCTTCAAGGAAATATGTATTCCTCGAAGGTTGGAGAACTTGCATATAACAAATCACATATATAAGAACTTGCATATAACAGATATTACTTTAGAAAACATATATGTCTGATGGTTTATTTACATTTTTCTGTCGATTACATGGGATTCTAGACCAGGTGGCTCAGAATTTTCCGGTCGGTGGCCAGGTATGGTCTTAAGTAAGGGATGTAGGATGCCGATTAGGATACCCGCGGGTATGTACTCATGAGTAACTATTATAGTTTCAACTATATTGATGTGCAGAGCATGTAATAACTCACTAGACATATTCTTCAGTACCAAAAGAGAAAAATAGAGGGATGACTAAACCACTGATACTTTTTCTATAATGTCTGTAGTAATAAATTTGTCATTAAAATAGTCTCTTTTGGCACCTCCACATTAATCCTTGCACAATGTATTAGGAAAAAAGATAAATCCTAAAAATCTTATGAAAATCTGAAATGTGTATGCATCATTTCATTAGTTACACTAACAAAAGCGAAATTTAGAAGCATCTTGTTTTTCTTTCAGGGGTGATCCATTATGCAAGTGTTACCAATGACCCCCAGAATATTGATTTTCAGATGCAGTTGGTAAGATGGCCCGTCACTAGAGATATTTGTTGCACAAATAACTTCATAACATTTCTAAATGATGAATGAAGAAGGCAGATGGAGACAAACCTTATTTTAGAGTTGTAGAGCAAGATGGGATATAAACTTCGTAGCTGATTTCTTTCAAAAAATAATCTTTGTAGCTTATAATTTTTTATTTGAGATTGTTTAGGGGTCTAAATATACATTTAAGTTCTCAATGTTTTAAATTATTTTTCTTGAATTTTCAAACAACTTGGATTGAGACATGCTTCATTCAAAATTGTAGTTTTCGATGAGTTCAAAAACTATATTGTTAAAATTTTGAAAACTTAAGACCATTTAGGTCTTCAATATCCAATAAAATAGTAATCTAAAAATAGCCATCGGTACCTGATCGCGGGTGATTGTGTAGCAGTACAGACAGGCTAGTGCCCAGACGTCTAGGCAGGGCTAGCATCCAAATGCCCGCGCCTACTTCACGTAGGCATGCTGTTGCGCTCGCCCGCACGCTTGCTTCACGTGGGGCCCGCGTCGCTCCGTGTCCTACACCTGCACCGTGTTCCGCGCCGCTCCGTGTCCCGTGCCGCTCCCTCTTGATCTTTGCCCACACGGGGCCTGTTCGACTGGTATTAAAGCCGGCTGATAAGCCGGCTGAAGCTGATTTATTGTAAGAGAAAAATACTGTAGATTTTGGCTGATAAGTTCAAGCCAACATACCCACTTCCCGCACCTACCATCCGCGCCCCCTCCACACCCACAGGCATGCAGGTGGGACCAGCAGCTGCAGCAGGCGGCTGCTGCAGATGGGTCCCACTACAACATGTGCAACACCAGATCTACTTTTGCAATAACTAGAGGAAACATTTGCAACATACGTCAAAAAAGTTGAAACACTTGCAACATACGTCTGAAACACGAGAAAAACATGTGTGTAGCCATTGCAAAACATATGCAGCATCTAGACAAAACACTTGCAACATATGTGTGAAACATATGCAGCATCCGGACGAAACACTTGCAACATAAAGTGTGAAACATATGTAACACTCATATAAAACACATGCAACATACGTTTGAAACAGCTGAAATGTTTGGAACAGGCGCTTGCAACATCCCGATCAACTTTTACAACATCCACATGAAAACTTGCAACATGCATATGAAACACATGAAACACTTGACGCATACGCTTGCAACATTCGCTTTTTAGCGAAACATCTTCTTGCTGCTTGGGCGAATCGAGGCTTGTCAATGCGGAGCTCGACGCTGGCACGAAGCTCGATGCCACGGAGGTCGCCAGTGTGGAGCTCATCGACGACGTGGGTCTCGGCGGCGTAGAGCTGGTCAGCAACACGTGTGTAGAGCCCAACGACAACACATAGATGTCGGCAGCACGGAGCTCAGCGGCAGTGTGCGTGGAGCTCAGCAGGGCGGTTGAGGCAGGCGAGCTGCGGCGGGGGGTGTGGAAGCCGATGGGGTGGTCAGTTTGGACGGCGGTTGCACGGAGGAGGGCGCTCGGAGGCACGAGAGCTAGCATCGACCGTGGAAGCTGGGTGGGTGACCATGGCGCTCGGTGCCTGCACTCTCGAGCAGAGCAAGAGGGAGAGGAGCGAGGGCGAGCAAATGGGAGAGGGAGAGAAGGCGTCGGCTTGGTCTCCACAGTTGCGTGAACCCGAGGCGGCGAGTGGGGATACGAATGGAGCATGGTAGCCATGCGTCAGGCATGTTCTGTCCTGGACATCCTTCCTCTCCCTATTGCTTTGAATGAAGAGACGGAGGAGAGAGAGACGAGATGAAACCGGAAAGGATATTTATATGGTGGGTAAAATATGTGGACATCATGAGGCCACGTAGCGTCCGACGATTAGATGCGAGACGGAAGCCCGCAGCGGAGCACTATCAGTAGTAGTACTATGATAAGGATGGCTCATGTTACGTGAGACTTGAGGTTATAATTTTGAATTCCCAAGATTCCTGCTACTCGAAAATAATTTTAAATGCACCCTCCGCGTGTATAGCTTCGAAACAATGGCCACAGGCCACGAGATACACATGCACATGCACATAGCGAACCTAAACATTGTTCAAGATACACAAGCACATGCAGCACCAGTCACTCTCTGAAGGGGAATCAAACAAGCAACATATGTCATCCATGACGGTGATGGCATAAGCGATGGTGGGCAGGGCTCAAAATATAACTTTAGCCACATATTTTCTATTATTTATGTATATATTTGTCGGATACCAGAAAATGGGGTACCCCAAGCAAAGATCGAGAAACTGCTTAGACCCTAAAAACAGAACCAACGGAATAAACAAACGAGGTCTCGGCCGAAATCTCCGATTCGCCCGAGACCCCGTCGCCGAGCCCCAGCGGAAGCAAACGGTTCTCCGACTCGCCCGAGACCGCCTCGCCGAGGCCCCCGCGTCGAGGCCCCCTCGTCGAGGCCCCCTCGTCCGGGGCCTCGGAAGAAGTGCCGATTCTCCGATTCGCGCGAGGCCGGCTCGGCACCAACCCCGTGACCGCCTTTTTGACCAAACTGCTCTGACCGAACGTCACATCCAGGCGCCCAACCACTCCGACAGACGCACGATGGCACAGAACGGCGAAGTGACCGGCTACACGCCGGTCGCGTCAACCCCCTGCCATCTGAGACGGCACAGAGCAGGGGTTACCGACCACTGTGCTGCCTAACTCCTGCACCAAGGACATCGCAACGTGGGGAGTCAGAACGGGTTCCTGTAGCCTCGGAATCAGCGGACCGACCACTCCGTCTAGCCCGAGCCCCGACAGGGCCTCGGATTCACTGATCTTACTACGCCTCGCCCGTCCGCCTCGCCCGAGACCCCCTCGGAAGGGCCTCGGATGAATCGGCACGCTCGCCGCCGCGCCGAGGCCGGGCTCGTTCCACAACCTCGTCGCCTCGCCTCAAAAGTCTCTCGGCGAGCCATCACATCCGATTACGCGCCGCCGCACACCACTACGTAAGCCACGATCGGCGGTCTTGGCTACCGCAAGGAGCGACGGGACAATGGTCAGATCACCTTTTTTACCATCCCTACTGACAACACAGGTACCGTATCCTGTAGGTGCACGTCTTGCACTATTCCGGCTGATGGCTGCTGAGACCCGCATCTGCACCTGGGTCACTTCTCAGGCCTCGGCACGGCAGGCCTCGGCACGACCGGCTACGAAGGCCGCCGAGCCTCTGCAATCCACCAAGTCAATAAATGCGCAGCATGTTACTTGCAGTGAAGACCATACCGATTGGACATCCATGGGAACTCCCACGACAACGCCATGCTGCTCTAGGAGTAAATACATCATGGAATAGTCCTTGCTCCACGTGTAGCTCTCTTATGTACTCCTGGTTTCCTCCCTACGGCTATAAAAGGAGGCAGCCAGGACCGTTTCTAGGACGACGGATAGAATCACAGATACTCGCACGAACAACACGCCTCGTTCTGTAATTTGATATCACCTCCCCTCACAGAGATCTGGGACGAACTCCCTCTCTCGCCTAGCTTGTAACCCCCTACTACGAGCACCCCGGTGCAAGGAATACAAGAACACCTTCTCAGACTGGACGTAGGGCATCCATTGCCCGAACCAGTATAAACCTTGTGTCTCTTTGCATCTCCATCCGGAATTGGGAGCACGCAGCACAAATTCACTAGTCGGTTAAGGACCCCCGGTTCCGAAACTCCGCCAGTTGCGCGCCAGGTAGGGGCCTCTGCGTGTCGACTTAGTCATCCCACCAGATTCCGGATGGCGATCCGTGGCGATCATTGCGTCTCGGGACGATCGTGCGGTTCGGGAGCCTAGAATTCATGTCTCTAGGGCATGAGTATGACATGGTACTCCTCTCACCCGAGCGCCATCGACCGACGACGACGACGTCTTGCACCGCAGCAACCGCGCAGACGGTGCACGGGCCACCGCTCCCCCGTCAAGCTTCGCCGAGAGCGCCA